TGCAGGATTTAAGGCTCTAGGCACTTTTTATCTCATATCCATAATATTTGCAATCTCTATCCTGAGGGGATAAAGCAGAGAGTAAGACACAAACATGAAATGCAAACGTTTAAATCCAAGGAGCTTAGTTTCATTATTTCTGTTTGATACTTTAGGAAACAGAGGCATGGGCAAAAAGCAACTTGCACAAACGTATCCATCCAGGCAGAGACTTAGTTGGAATCAGAATTTGGGTCTGCAAGGTGGCTGAGGAAGTTTTCAGCCAGGCTGCTGAGGCTCCTGTCACTGCTGTAATAACACGGCAGGGTACAGGTGTTGGGAAAAGCAATGGTTTGGCAAAGGGAAGCAAAGCAGCAGCTTGTCTGACCAGCCCCAGCTGCTACAAAGTGCACTGGACAGAGTAGCAGGACAAGGGCAACTTCATTTCCTTCAATCTGTGCTACTGCTGGAGATGATTTTAAACTTTGTCTACAACATGCTGTCTCAGGGTGTGCTCCTCACTCTTATCTCTTCTTTTCTTTCTCCTATTCCTTTTCTATCTAGTGCCTGAAAAGTGTCCTGAGGGTTTGACAGTTTCTATTTAATCATTTCATCCTGTATGGCAGACTGCTGAGCACCATACAGTGAAGTTACTACCAGCCTGGAATTTGTGAATATCTGTCTGCCCTCTTATCTGCTTTGGTGCCAGACTCTTGATATCTCACTCCCCTCCACCCCTCACCCTGTGTCTGTAATGCTGTAACAAATAAAAGTTCTAAATAACTCCCTTTGCTGGGGGGAAGAAAAAGAGAAAAAAAATAGGCTGCCACCACACAGAAAAAGGCAGAGACAGATTGTTTCCCAAGGTTTTCTGTTAGCTCCCAGTATACTAAGGGTGTGTTCATTAAACCCAGCATTAGATTACAGAAAGGGAGAAGGACTAGCAGACAAGCATTTTATTTAGCCTTAGAGGACACAGTTCAGCTCCCATTGCTGCCTTTCACAACTCCCCATTTATCATGAGGCTCCACAAAACACTGGCTGTGCTTTCTGTCTTCCACAAAACCAGACTCCTTCAAGAAATATATAAATCCAGTAATGTCTGGACAAATGTTCAGATGTGATGAAATTTCAAACTTTCAGTTGTCCTACTGTTCCCATAAAACAAAGCAGGGACCAAGCATTGGACAAGACAGAAGTTGAAGAATAAAAATTACTGCCAGTCATTGGCTCAGCCAGTCTCTTCCCAACTAGGCTTTGTGAGTGATTTATTTTTCCATTAGGGATTTGGAGCTTAGCAATTATATGAATTATTCAGAATGAGCCCAAAGTTCATTTGGGGAATCTTGGGTGAATCAAAACATTTCCATGTCTCCTTTTTTTTTAATACCACCAAACACTCCAGTCCTCACTGTATGAGAGGGTAACAAGCAAACACTGGGCAGAGCAGAGTAGGGGCACAGATGTGCACACCTCACTAGCACTACTCCATGGGGAATGCAAGTGAACTTCCTTTCATTCCTTGAGCACTCAGATTGCCTGAGGGTGTAAGTGTGTACACACATATTTAACACTATTAAAGAGTAATGTTATACCTTGAGGGTACAAGTGTGTACACACATATTCAACACAATTAAAGAGTAATGTTATACCTTCCACAGGCTCATGGGATCCCTTCTGTGTATTCACATTCTACATGTCTTACAGTTACAGTAGATTTTGGGGAATATTCCCCTTTGTCAAGACAGACAGAGACCAATATATCTAGCCAAAACCATAAGAGGAAGGGACACCACCAGCAGCTGCAGGATGCAATCTGACTGTAATCAGCTGGACAGATTTTTGCTCCATAGCATGTTTGCATATCTGTAGGTATAGAAATTCATATGCTTCCTAGTATTTTGCAGAAACATCCAGACATGAGGAGAAGCAGCAGTGCTGTATCTGCTCTTCTGTCTGTAAAAGACTGTGTGATCAGAGAGCAACAGCCAAGTTGGCTGATGATGTTGCAGAACCACCTATCCTCCCGTATTGGAGTCATGACCACCCCTTGACAAAAAGCTGCAGCCCTGCAGATCTATTATGCTTCTGGCAGAGGAGTAAGAAAACATTCCCTTCAGAAACAAACAGCAGAGTTAAATGGTAAGTGATATTCTAAGAGCCACTGACTACACTATGGCCATGAAATCAGTGTAAGTTAACCACACAGGACTGTTCAATGAGGTCAGCTGGAATCTTCCTCCATCTTTAGCAGGAAAGAACTGCACCCTTTCACCACTAGAATACCAAAAGCTTTACTGCACACTCCAGATTGCACCTCTAAATAATTTCCATATTCATCTAAAGTATGTTTGGTAGCAATCAGAAAGTTTTAGGAACTATCCTATCTGCTCCTAAGCTCAGACTGCCAGTCAGCACATTAGGGATCATTGTTGAGAGCCATTTCCAAACATGTTGGGAATCTGCAATTAGAAACATTAACAATGGGATTTCACAGATGTAGGTTACATGCTTTCAGAAGAGAAATGGTAGTTGCTGGCAGTGGGGAAATACTTAAGAACTACTTATCCCCTAATTAGACAAGGTACTGTACTCTAAGTACTGAATGCTAAGCAGTGCTCTAGCATGTGCACATCTTAACCCTTCAGAATTATGCTGAATTACCAAGGCTCCATCTGAGCATTTCTTAGCCAACACTCCTTGTATAAACAGATGGAGCAGTTCTGCTGTTTCTATGCTGACACATTTAGACTGTAAAAGTACAGGATTAAGTTCAAATTTATCATAAAATCACTTTAGATAGGACGCTGTAGTCTTTACATCCTTCTCAAGTATGACAAACAGAAAGACAACACTGTCTGTGTTGTGTTTAAAATAGGCAAATAGCAGAAAATGTTTGGGAAAAAATACTGGTTTAACTGCTACAGAGTGCTGGTTGAGGCCACAATAGGACAACCAGCCCCAAAGATCGTTATATTGCCTTGAAGAGAAGGATCATCCTCATTAGATGGATTTTCCAGGATGCATTATCACATCATGTAACTCCCAATGGCACTGCAGACACCAAAGATCACCATACCAAAAGGATGATCATCTGGTTATGAGCTGACTATTAAAAGCCATAAAGATGTGGTGAATGCAGGTAGAGATAAAGCTGTGACATTGCTTTGACATGTCACCTATGAGGAAAGACTGACAAGTGGCAGAATATGCCAAATTTAGACTGGTTTTCTCTCTCTGAAGCAACACAAAGTGGTTGGAACAGAATCCAGGAGTGAGGCCAAATCAGACTTGGCTTTCCAATGAAGTCTGGCAATACATTTCAACACTAGGCATTAATTAATATTGCTGAAACATTTTGAGAGGAGACTGCCCAGAACCCAAACAGGACATAAAGACAAAAGGTCACTGGCAAAGCTATGCCATAGTCTGTGCAAATACACATCTGTTAACTCCTACTCATGAGACAAGATTTCCCCTAGATTGTAACTTCCATGGCACATCTCCCCTCAAAGACACTGAAGGGCTGCTTCTCTGAGAGCACCAGAATAGAACTTCAGAATGTGTCTGTCAGAGAGTCAGATCTTCACACATAAACCAACACCCTGAAGTTTAACTCCAGAACTCCTGTCAGAGGCATCTCAAACCCCTCTGTGGTTTCATTAACTTTGAACTGGAGAATGAGAATCCCCATTTTGAAACTACTCCTAAGATTTCAAAACCTGGAGTGGAAACAAAATCATTTGGACATCCTTGTGAATGCCCCAGAAGGATGATGTGTGAGGCACAGGACAGTCAAGTGCCCAACTTGCTCCTGAAACTGTACCTTTCCTACTCTGGATTTGGCAGTCAGTGGTCCTAAGCCCAGAACTCCTCTAAGTAAGAGATTTTCTTAACTATGGCTGTGTTAAAATTTAATTTGGTGAAGAAACAGCATATTTAAATAAAATTAAATTCCCTTTCAGTGTTCTGATCAGCTGTCTGCAGTTACACATTCTGGTACTTTCTCTCCTGCTGACATTGTCTATTCACATCATGTGCTGCTTAAAGTGCAGATCAAAACCTTTTCCTCAGCCATGGACTTTCAGAAGTTTGTTCAACCTTTCTTCTAAAGCTAATTTGTTTCTTTTTTAATGGAAGACTTCTGTTATACTAATATATTGTTGGAAATATAATGAGAATTCTGGCAGCTGAATGTCTAAATACCAAATCAAGACAATGGATCAGTCATTTTTATCATGGCTTCTTTATGCTTCCTTGAAATTATAGGTCTGTAAAAGTACCAGGCTTAATTGTCTATTAAGCCAAGGTCTTGTCTGCCTCTCTCTTAAATGCCATGACACACAAGGGAAGGCTATCTCACACTTCCTTTTGTTATTTTCATGGGTGTGAAGTAAACAGTTCAATCAATTTGTGATGTGCTTTATCCCCCACAGTATGAGGTTTGTTTTACACTGAAATTCAGAAGGGGAAAAGAAAGAACAAAACATTCAGTGGACAGAGTGAAACAGAAATCACTGGTGCACAGAGTGCAAATATGTCTTGCTGTTTGTGTGCAGATGTTTATGCAGTTTAACACATAACAGTATGAAGTAAGCAGACCTATATGAAAAATTTCACAGCCTAGAATTCATTCCCACATCATTAGAATTGGAGTGAATGTGAAGGTTCTGTAAATTATAAATCACACGTTTAGACTCTGATTTTCCGCTTTTAGTTATGGTCAAACTGTGGGTACCTGACATACCACACACCAGAAGAACCAGTCAATTTTATACTTGGGCACTTTCATTTGAATCAATTCTTTATGAAAGTTTAGCACCTCCACCTGAGGATGTAATACATCTTTCAAAAGCTAGAAAATTTGTACTTTGAATTAAATTAAACTGAAATATTACAGCAATATCTGGATTGAAGACTGATTTTGATCTCTGTTAACAGACTAAAGCTGCTTTCAAGCCTAGATGACACATGTATATATCCCTTTGCCAATTTTTTGTAGTCTTTTGTGTTTATCTTACCTTTAATGCCCCATGCTTTTCATTTGCTTTAACGATAAAAATTTTTGCTGTATCCTCAGCATGCTCAGACCTTGCATGGACAAACAAGGCTGTGCCAACTTCTGAGAGATTCTTTAGTGCAACCAAAGAGCCATCCTGTTCCACTGTGAAGTCTGGGTTAGACACTTCGAAGTTCAACTTGTTATTCCCCTTGCAGTCATCAAATTCCACTGGGGGGAAGAAAATAAAGAAAAAACACATTTTAAGTATCCACTTTATAACACAGACTTAAAGTATCTTTATGTTATTGGCTTGTCTACAGATTTGGGGAAGAAATGTCTCCCAATTTGAGGAGAAAAACTTTCAAAGAAGTTTTAGCTTTGTGTGACTCTAATTCATAAACAAAGCTCATTAATATGGACTTTCAGAAGGATGAAGAGGCTTTGACCCTGCTGGGGAGGTAAGAGATAAACAAAGCACTTTGGACATCAGTCTTTTGTGGGCAATGAAATCAAATGCACACCTAGTTCTACAAATTGGGCAGTAGCAGTAGAGACCTTGTTATCTTTCTCATCATAGCCCAGAAGCTCTAAAGGCTCTTCCGCTGGCAAAGAGGTTTCAGACATTCATTACATCTTTATGCTTAACACTGGTTGTTTACAGAATATTCAATCACAGAGTACTGCAAAAGTGTTACATAACAGAAAAACTTACTAACTCCCAGGATTGTGACACAGTGCATGAGTTGCACTATCAGTACCTTTAAGGATTATGAGAACTTTTAATTAAACAGCAGTTGTCAATTATCTTGTTTCACTTTACATTCTGGGAAGGCTTAAAACATTTAGGAAGGCTGGCAGAAAGAGAAACACAACCCTAAAGCACAAAGGTTTGAGACTTTGCCTCAGATTCTTTCTCTGAGTCCAGTAGATTCACTTTACACATAAAAGCTGGAACACAAAACATTAATGACGTAACTACCAGCTATGTGGCTAAGAGATCTTCACTACATACTTGCAATTACTAAGTAAACTGTTCAGGTTTTGACATCTCTGAACAAAATATTTGCATGTGAAACATTTTTCTGCAGTCAGTCTGCTCTGTATTCCCTGCCTGCTCCTTCACTTACTGCTGCTGCAGACTTTTCACTTACCTGTATGCTCTCACTATTTCGATTTCACATTTCATTTCTATTGCTTATTTAAAAACTGCATTATACTTTCAGAAAAGAATGCAGACAGGGATACAGACTATGGAAAATCAATGACAATGAAGTTTTGCTGAAAATAAAGCACTTTGCATAATTGTTTAAACTCACTGTTTAGACTTCTTGTATTGGGTCACTGTTTTTTAAAGGAAGAAAAGTAATCCTTAATTCTCTCACAGCCTGGGCGATGCCTCAACTCCTCCTGACTATGTAATCTCTATAACTGGTTCTAAAGCACAAGCACAATCCCATAGTGAATGACCACCCAACATTCCTGGGAAGTTGCATAGAAATATTCTTCAGCAAGTTCTGCATCTATTTCCAGACATACCAACTTTTAGACAGGGCTGCCAGAGGACCTCATGGAGCTCCTTCTCTGGGCATTCACCAGGATTGAATCCCAAAGTAGAACACCACAGGGAAAAAGAACTGTTGCTGGTTCTGGAGTTTGAATACAATTTCATTTTATGATGAATATTGATGGGATAGGTTAAACTAAAAATTAAACAACGTAAAAACCTCAAAGACTCAAACTTCAGAATAAGGCACAGAGTGACATGTGAGACACTGTTTGCCCAAGCAGCAGTGGAGGGTTGGCCTTGGGCTGCACCCAGTCGCCCACCCAGAAAATGAGATGGAAAAACTCAAGGGTCAAGGAAAAGACAGGGAGGTCACTTACCAATTACCATCATTGGCCAAACAGAATTGACTGTGGGTAAATTAATTAAATTGCCAATTAAAATAGATATGGATGGTGAGAACGAGATAAAATTAAAACCACACTGTGTGTCCCCCTCATCCTGCCCTTTTCCCAGCTCCTTGGTCTCCTCTCTCCAAACAGTGAGGGGACACAGAGAGCAGGGAGCCACAGTTTCTACCCAATGTCTCCTCTGTGTAGCTCAGTCCTCACACTTTCCCTGCTCCAGCCCAAGTCCCCTCTGCAGCTGCAGCTTCCTCAGGACAGACCCACCTGCTCCTGCCTGAGGTCCTCCAGAGGCTGCATGAAATCCCTACTCCGTGCCTGGAGACCATTCTCCTCCACCACATCATCTCCACCTCCTCCCCCCAGAGCTCATACTTCTCCCTCACTCCCAGGCATCATTTTGTCCCTTCCCCAAATGTGGCCAAGGGGCTCAGCTGTCAGGACGAGGCAGTCCCATCTCCCCTCACAGCAGCCCCACAGCCCCCACACCCCACACATCCACGAGGGCAGTAGGAGCTGAGGTGAGATTTTGAAAGAACAAAGTTGTGACCCTGTGAATTCACACTGGACCATCCTCTTCCCGAGAAGAGTCCGAATCTGTGACAGTCACCACAGTCTCTTGCATAAAAATTCCCCCAGCACCTGAAGGATCTGCTGCTGCACAAGGTTTAAGCTCGATTACATGTTTTTAACTAAAAACTGCTCCCATTTCCTCTGCTTTACTTGAGGGCAAGAGAACTATCCTTCGATTCACAGTGGGACTGCAAACCAGAATTTCATCAGCTCATTTGCCGTTTCATTGAATTTTGCTGAAAGCAAGAGGGATTATAAATAAAAAAAGAAACAAAAAGCCCTTTCCCCTCAGACACTCAAGTCCCTCCAGACAAACCTATCTTGGGCTGTCATGTCACAGATCCCTGCTTGCAAAGTCTTGCACTGCAGTAGGAGAGAAGCATGAGGGGAAAAAAACACTGAAATTGGGAGTGGTAGACGTTTAAAACCACTTCAGAGTGCTCAGACTGTGCTGGTGCCCACACTGCTCTCCAAGGACAGGAACTGCTTCCAGAAAGGGTCTTGTGCTCACAGCAGGATTTTGATGGAAGGCTCTTTGTGAGCAAGAATTCCCTGGTGAAAAACCACCCATTTAAGTTGGTGATGTGACAGGTGTTTTAACAAATGCACTGCAATCTCCTAAAGCTATCAACCCACAAAATAGCAAAATTTTCCTGTCATCACAAATGTAGGAAGTTGAAATTCTCTATACTAATCACTGTATAGATACATATGCTACATATCTCTGTACACTGCATAGATTGAAGCCTTGATGAGTCTTTTCACTTATTCTTTTACTCCCTTAAAAAAAAGCACAGAAAATCACCAAATAAAAAAAAAAAAATTAACCAGGGTATTAGGAAAGTGACTTGTTGTATTGATGAAATCCCTGCCCAGGGCAGGAACTACATGATCTTTAAAGTCACTTCCAAATCAAGCCATTCTATGATTCTATGGATAAAGATGTGCTTCTCGTAGTCAAAACCTGCTGGTGATCTACTATTAATAGCTTACAGCTGGAAAAGTTTTGCACTGCTCTCTGAGAAATTAATTGTGTCAGGAGTAAAAAGTAAAAAAACCAATAAATTAAAAATACATTAAAAAGCCAAACAAAACTCTGATAAACTAATCCCTTAAACTCAAATGTCATAGTTCAGAGCTGTAGAATCACCCAGCCAAACACTACAGGTTACTTTCACGAAAAGGACACGCTGTGTTGTACTTCAAAAAGAGAGTGAACCTGGCTAGGAGCACACTTTTCCCACCTCACTGCTCAGCGTTCACAAACCTTGAGATTCCTGCATTGCTGCCATCTGTGTGCATTGGAGAAATTCAAAGACCACATGCAGATTTGACACATGGAATCAGGAGAGGTACTATATTCTATATTCCCTTGGAAGTATGAATTTAACACTTTTAGACCTTTTATATTTTACTTATCTGTTGATCTTGCCCTATGAAACCCTACAACTTTTTCCAACAAGGGCAAAAGCAGAGTTATTTGAAAGTGGAAAACTGTTTTCTTACCATATCTCATCCAAAAGCACTGATGCTTTCAATTCCCAGTTCTACCACAGAAATGAGAGTATTTGATGAGGTTAATAGCGAGGAGAAGGAAAGAAAATGAAAAGGCTCTGAGATGCACTGATATGTAGGAGAGAAATTAGAAGTGGGTGGAAGGAGATGAAGTGATTGTAAGGATAGAGAACACTGAAGATTATTTGGACCAAGGGCCAACACTGATGAAACTAAAGCCAATTTTTAAGAGACTTGAAGAGAAATGTAGCCTTAGACAAAAATCCCTAGTCTGAAGTTAGGAGCAGATGTGAACTTTGAAGCATGATGATGTCTCCTGGCCTGGGCTGACCAGGGAACATTGCATGAGAACGCATTGCATTCCCAGTCATTCTCAAGGTGTCCCTCACTGGGAATCTTTGCTTCCTTAAACTCATGTGCCTTCTGGGGAAGAGCCAGTGCAAACACCCAAAATTCACAATACTTGAGCTGCCTGTAGCAGGCTCCAGTGGCAGCTACACAGCTTAAGGAGCTGGCCCTGCCACTTACCACACTTAACCTGTCCTGCTATGTGCTCAGAAGAGATCTGAGGAATTTCAGCTTCATCATTTTACTCAGATTTCTCATCAGCCACACTACATGTACCTCTTAAACAAGCCTGTACGTGGCTGATGCTCTAAAAAAGCAGAGCCCATAAAATATAGAGCAAATAGGATTTTAAGATCTCACTCTCTGGCGAAAAAAACTTGCTTTGTATATAAAGCTTGTGTACAAATCTCTATGTAACTATCAAGAGTGATTAATTAATCACTTCTTATGTCCTCCAAGACCTAACCAGTGTAACAAGAAACTAGACAGAAGTGTGTGGATATCAGTTGTGGGAAGCTTCAGAGGGTTATTGAAGAAAGATTTCCAACTAACCACTAAAAGAGGGTGCTGAGGATATGCTGAATATTTATGATTGCAGGGGTTTAATGTGAGTTTAATCAAATACCAACTTAATGAAAATCACTCAACACCATGCTCAGTATCTGCCCTGCTTCAAACCAAGAGGATGGACTAGATGGCATGTTGAATTCTTTTACATGAATAAAAGTTCTGGATTTAATCAATTTATCTCTCCTTTCAGGCCTACCTTAGGTCTATATATGTAGGATTCATTCAAGAAAAATAAGATGACTACAAAAACACAGTGAACTAACCACTGTGTCTTACTACACGGCTTACTCATCTAGCTGAGTCCTGGACACTTA